CGTTTCTGGGTCACAAATGGGAACCGCGATTAGCATCCGAAAACGTTCACGATTTTTATAGTGTTTAAACGCGTTTTCTGATTTTTTTGCTTGACTGGGTAAATAGATCAAACAAATATATTTAACTTGATATGAAAATAAATACAGATTCTATCGTTGATTCAAACATATATAGATAATTGTCATAATTAGAAATGTACAGGGTTCAACTGTTTTTTGTTTAGTCTCGATCCTGACGTAGAAAAAAACTATTTCATAATTTATTCTAATTATTTTTAAAACTTTGTGAAAATTTTATCATCATCTTTCGTTCTAGTTCGAATAACTTTCTTCCCTTAGTCCTGATCTCAACCTGCATCTCTAATTCTGATATGTACCGGTTACTTTTGATTACAAATCACGATATAAAAAGTATCAGATAATTAAGCAGCTCAACTGTATGTATAGCTAAATTATTATTTCTTCTATTAAGTACTTCATGTTCAGTATAGGAATAATTCTCATTGTTTTTCTTTAGAAAAGCATTTTGGTTCTAATAATTTACTTGACATATTTTTCATCACTTGTCGTCTTTCATCCATACGAAATTTCCAATTTTGTAATGAACGTCCACCACCATCAGGACTACTAGTTCGTTGTTTATTTTTTTTATCATATGTACCAACTTCTGGAATATCTTCAGCAGTTTTTTTATCTTTGCCCATTGTGCAAAGCTAAGAAAAAAAAAGTTTCTATCAAGCTTTGTTGTTTTTCTATCTGTAAACTTACTTCAGCAGCTTCAGCATCTGGTAATTCACCAACATAATCATTAACTGTTCCAAGAATACTATATGGAAGTAAATTACCCGATGAATCAAATCTTATTCCTGAACTAATTAATTGTTCTTGTACTGGTTGTTGTGGTGCAATTTTTGCTACTTGTATTCTATTGTTTTTGATTTATCGGAAATAAAAGTTTCATTTAAAACAAAAATATTCTTTATTATTCACATACTTACGGTTGTTTTTGTGGACCAGTTTTAGTTTTTTTAACAATAAATGATTTTTGTTGGTGTTCTTCGGTTGTTTTTTTTTCATTTTTATCTTGACGTAACTTTAAAAATAAATATCGGAATGAATTTTTCTTTTCTTTTTTGATTTATTTACTTTTTCAAGTTCATCAAGTCGAATAGCTAAAGCTTGAATTTCTTCTGAATCAAGTGGTCGACTTGTATCAGATTCAGTTGGTCCATCAAGAACAGGTGAAACTGCTTTTGTACCTTTACCACCGGCTTTACCTTTCTCTAAATATAATAAGTTAATAAAAAAAAAAAAATATTTTTTTTTGACTTAGTGTATAGAATAATCAGTGCTTAACTAAATGTGAATATTTAACTTACGGGCATCATTTAAAAAAGATTGAATAGCAGATGATGATGATGATGAATAAAAGCCGGTATCACCTCCTCGAGGTGCTATACTAAATCGTTTTTTAAACTGCTTTTTATTGTCCGTAGTCGCCAGAATGACAAATACGAATAGTTTATTTTTTTCAAATGAATCTCAAGAAATTGTTGATACATTATATCGAAGTAAGCAAAAAAAAAGAAATTGATCTTTACTTCTAAGGATTGAATATAGAAGTCGAAGCAAAGCAATTAACTTTTAATAGTAGTTTCCAAGGAATATTAAATCTGTTACATTTAACAAAAATGCAACGAATTATGATATTCAAATGAAACTGATAAGTTTTTCTTGTCTGAAAAACTTTTGAAAATTTTCTAAACGATTATTAGATTCTGATAGAAAATCTTACTAATTAATCCAAAGATATATATAATTACCTTTGCTTTTATCAAGTTTTTCTGGTTTACGTTGTCCAAGTGCCGTACTCATTTTTCAAAATACTTTTTTTTTTTTTTACAAACACACGAACCACTTTTTTTCCATAGACTCCATTTGATAGTTATTTATATGATATATTGCCAAGAGATCCTTCAAATCGTACCGAAAAAGAAATGTAGATGTCGCTACAAATCAATCACCTCCGTAAAAAAATTTTAGACAATAGTACAGAAATAAATAAAATGAAAATACAAATAAGCATAGGCGGTGAGATATTTTGAGAATGTCGGTGCGTGCCACTGTTGATGAATAGAAGTCTTCACTTCGACTCTCATTCACACCCACACCCTTGAACTTATGAATGCGTCTGGTGTTGTTATTTGTAATGACACTGAGCTCGATGGTAATGATGATGCTCGTATTGGTCATATATTTGGGTTACATGAATTGCGGCCCACGGAATTTTCGGGCCGGGCCGAAAATCCTAGAGGAATGTCGGCCCATCCTTAGAATGACCTCATTGACCCCTAAAAAACAATTTAATTTTATTAATTAATTGCTAGATATCGTAGTGCTGAGCAGGACGACGTGGGCATAGTTGTGGACGCCGATCAATGCAAAAAAGATACGAATATACCACATACGCCTACACCCACACTAGCACCCCACAAGCTTACATCTACACCCACACCCATCACTTTCTGCCCATCCTTAT